CTCCACCTGTCAGCAGCGCTTCTATGGCTGTCGTACTTTACTTTTAACTTAGGTTTTCATGCTGCTGCTCTGAAAACTGCCCGTCACCACGTCTAGAACCCTTTTGCTATGCGTGAGCAGTCAAGTAAAACTCTGCGCTCTGAAAACCTCTGCTCTCTACTCAAGCAAAAAATGAGCATGTTCCCACCAAGTATGGACTGCAATATAAGGCGACGGGGTCTGACAGACATTTAAGGCCACACACTTTCCATCGATGGGGAGAGCAGATAAAGACAGGCAAGGGTGGTTTTATGTATCGCAACTTTTCTGACTGGGGCCGCTACCTGCTTGTTGCCATGGAGAGGTTTTACTTTGCTTGGACTGCATATGGATGGACGATGCTAACCCGCAACCCCAGTGAAGCCCAATAGGGAAGTTTTCCATGACAAACTTTGCTCCAACTCACTATGGCTCCCAGAAAAGTAAACTTCTCAGGGTAAGTAACCGTTTGTGTCACACCCACCATTTTAAGCTTAGTGCTCTCTATGATCATGGTGTTTATATTGTGACACTGTTCTTGTAAATCTAGATATGTGCTATATAGGGATTGACCAATCAGACTCCTTCATTCGCAGCGGTATCGCAAGCTTGCCTCAGCAACTATCTTAGCAATATATCTGTCCCTGTAACACCACAAAGCTAACTCCCATATAAGGAAAATTGCTCCAGCTAGCTTTTGTTCAAATCAGCTTGGAATGCACCTCAGTATGATATACAATAATAGTTAAATAACTTTTTCTGATATTGTTTTTATATAATATGTCAAAACACGTTCAAGAAATGTTGTAACTTAGTTTTAGTATAGATAAATATCTGATAAAATCCTACTTAACACTTTCATTTACAAAAATTACAAATACAAATTATTGTCAAAACACACTAGAGCTATATCAAGTCAATCTATTAATCACGTGCGTGTATTGATTATCAATACACGCCCCGTTTCCAGCTGAGCGATTGTACATGTTTTAAGTGGTGGGGGAAACCGAAACACGCGGAAGAAACTGAAGCAGGCACAGGGAGAAAATACAAACTCTCCTCTACCACAGCCGAGTAGAGGAGAGTAGAGCCGAGTAGAGCCGAGTAGAATATGGCAGAGTAGGGCAGAAGTCGGTCTGGTGGAAACAGGGTTATCGACCTCAACATGCATTATGGATAGTTCTATGACAACTAATAATTAATTCAAATAATAATTGGCCAACAAATAGATTATTGAAAGAATCGTAGTGACAGCTCTAAAACACACTGATTTAGGGCAAATTAAAGCTTGTATGTTCCAGAATGTCACTCAGAAGAGTCTTCAGCCGCATTAATCTGACTGATGTGGTTGAACGATGTTGAAAATAATCAGGAGTCTGAGCAGCAGAGGCAGTCGGCAGCATTTGCAGCCCCAAAATTAGCCCCCGCTGGAATTCATTTCCTAACAAGACTTACGAGCATATGGAGAAATGTGCCAGAACGTCGGAAGTACTAAGGTCTGCAACATGTTTTACTACCACAGGGGTGAAAATAAACACAAACCAAAATCAAATAGTTTTGTGTTTTGGTGAATGGAATGCCTGTTCATGAGCAGTGTAGAAAGTAATAAAGCACTTGATAGACTGGAGAGCTGGGTGATTGTTTTATTTCCTTCATTTTTATTATTGTTATAGAACTTTATTTATTTGTAATGTTCTTTAAATGTTTTTTTTTTAATATTTTTTAAATATATTTTGTGTATGTATTTTCGAATGTATGTCATTATTCTTTATATGAATGGTTGCCCTTTTTTTTGCTGTAATTATAAGGACCAAATGTGATTTCTTATGTGATATGATATCATGGTTTATTCCCTGTTTTAATTTGTAATTGCTTTAGTTTTAGTTCCTCTTGTGTGATTCCCTGCCCCGCCCTTGTGTGTATCATCACAAATATATCTCCCGCTGAGACCAAAACGACTTCGGAAGTCTGGCTGTTGTGGTAGACTGCTTTAATGGTGTGAACAGTGGGATAGCCCATCACTTCATACAGCTCAACACCTCAAAATCGGAAGTTGTCCTCATGAACCCGCCGCAATCAATCTCCCACAACCAAACCCACCTCGGCCCCCTGTCATCAAACAATACTTCATCCGTTTGTGTTATCTTCGGCTCTCAACTCACGTCACAAACTACTCAATCTTGTTTATTTCAAGTCCTTGCCATATACAATATCAAAAATATTCCCACTACTTTGAATCTCCATAAACTCATCAACACTCTCATTTTCTCCTTCCTCGATTGCTGTAACTTCCTTCTCTCCAGTCTCGACTCCACATTGTTCTCCAGCCTCGACCTTGTGCAGAATGCAGCAGCCAGACTTCTCACTAGTTTTAACAGAAGGGAGCACATTACCCCAGTGTTAGCATCCCTCCAGTGGCTCCCTGTGGATTTCAGAATTCATTTCAAAATGTTACTGATTTACTATTTCGGGTTTGTGTCCAGCTACATTGCCAACAGTTTTTAACTCCCCATGAGTCTCCCTGCAGCCTTAAGATCCTCGGACAGGTCCCTGTTTGCCGTTCCAAGGTCAGGCGAGCAGAATCAGTATTGTCTTCTTATCTGTTAGCTTAGCTGTTAGCTTAGCTGTTATCAGTGTGAACAGAGCACTTTAATGATTTGCACTTGTTTTGAAACTGTTTTAGTCGATCGATTTCACAGTGACATTTGTTTACTGTTTTATTTGTTTTATTTTTGTCTTTTAATGTTGTTTTATGTCTGTATTTGTCTGTGCACACTGGAGACTTTTGCTAATGTATTCCAATGTGGGTTTTTTTAACTGCAAATGGCAAATAAACTGAATCTGAATCTTAAAACCCACTTTTACCGAACAGCTTTCCGTCTGTTGTAAACTCCACATACCGTTGTCTTTGTTTTGTCTCTCTTGTGTCTTGTGTCTGCTTCATTCTCCTGTATTTCTTATTGATATATTTGATTATTATGAAAACTGCATTATAAAACTCTGGATTTTGCTTTCATTAAATTGCCCTTTTTGGAGTCTTGCATTTTGGGTTCTTCGTCTTTTTGAAATGTGACAACAAACTTCAAATGTATTAAAATTCTATTGTAACATACTATTTAATGTTTGAAATGCAGAGGATTTAAAAAAAAAAAAAAAAATAGGTACAGGAATACTTTGGGTTGCAATTTTGAAACTCTTTAGAAAGCCCTTTTTTCTTAACATGATAACATTTATTTGTTCTACAGTGTTGCAGAGAAGCACTCAAAACAAGATCACTTTCTGTAAATATTGGTGCAATGACGGCTCTATCGCTGCCATGGTAAAATGATCATCATAAATTATACAGCATATTTTATTCATTAAGATATTCATATAGTTGTGAATTGAGCTAATCCCAAACACATGCTAGAAATGTAAAAAAATATACAAAATGTCCTCCATTTAATATAGTTTAAAAACGCAAACAAGATGTAATTGGACTAAACATTGTAATGTCTTTTGACTGGTTCCTCTTATTGCATATGGACGTTTATATTATTACTTGGAGAAAACAATTAAAAAATCTTGCGTCATCGACCAAATACCAGGTTTGCTGAGTACGCCGATTTGAACTCAAGCTAGCATGTTGGAGCAAATCTTTGTTCACGAGCACTTCCCTATTGGGCTTCATGTACCTGTAGCTCTCCGTTGGAAAAAGGTTGGAGACCCCTGATAGCTCTGTGAATTAAGCTCTGTGAATTATGGCTTTAAATCTGCCCCAGTGTTTGCCTTACTGCAGTCTTAGTTCATTGAAGTTAAATGGTTGAATTCAACTAAAGTGAAACATTTAGCTCATTGATTAACAGACCAATGAATAAACTACACTTCGATCTTTTGCAGTGACAAATTACCTGTTTCCATTAACTCCACACACTTTAAAATGTCCTGGGAATAGTGCTAAGATACTGGGAAACTGTGCAAACTCAATGTAGACGTTAAAGTTCCATTCAAAACCATGTCCATCCCACTTAGAACACTTGCTAGATATAAAGCAAACGTTTAGCTGAACCATTAAGAGTATGGTAAGAAATAGTACTGAGAGTTTTTGTTTTTCTGGAAGTGTCGATATTTTCTTACACGTTTTAACATGAAATGGTAAATTCAATTTTTGTCCACAGTAAAAAGTGTTTGATGTGACATAATGTAGATATTCAGACCACTACGCCATGTGACTCACTATTCGACACTTTTGGCTGAGAGTGGATTGACTGAGCACTACTTGACTTTTCCGTATAAAAAGGCTGATCTGAAAAAGTGATAGACTCTCATGCTTTTTACTCCTAAGGATGTTCCAAAGAGGCTAATAAAATGGGAGCAAAATATGGTTTTTTATTTGCAGTACACATTTTCACTGTTATAAAATCCGGTTCAAATTACGAGACTTTGCAAACGCAATTTATTATGCTATTACTGTTTTAACATGCCCATGCTTGTTTAACTAATATTTTTTTCCACTTAAAAGGGGTTAAGGGAGATGTTTCTACCAATTAAAACATAATGTGTACACAAATAATTGGTTATTTCCCTGCTGCTAAGCAGGGCAGGCCCTGGTTAGTACTGTGATGAGAGACCTCTGGAAACACCAGCTGCCACAATAGGGTGGATGTAAAGTGCCAAACTGTCCTTAGGCAAGACACTTCACCATCATTGCAAGTGTGAGTCTGGTGTGAATGGTTGATGGTGGTCAAAGGGGCCGATGGTGTGTGTAATAATGATGTCATGCGTCTTTGAGTTTTCAAAAAGCACTATGTAAAACCCATGCATAATTATTATTCAATCATTGTGCTCGGCCACAATCAAGCGTCCCCTTTTGCCGTGAGGTGAGAATAGAAGTGCTGCATAATAATTTTTCTTGTGGTTTGAAACTTAGGTACCCAGCTTTATCATATATCTGCTTAACACGCCCCATGCTGCTGTATTGGAAAAGCATGTGTGGGGGACACTCACGTGGTAAAGGCAGGGTTGTACTTGGCTCCCAGGTAGTAGGAGTACAAGTTGAACATCCCGATCATAAAGGCCACAAACACCATGATGAAAATGACCATGAACTTGAAGATGTCTTTGACCGTGCGGCCCAGGGAGATCTGCAGCGGCCCGAAGCTCTCGTTGGCCGGCAGGATGTAGGCAATACGTGAGAAGCTCAGCACCACGGCGATGGCGTACAGGCCCTCAGAGATGATCTGCGGGTCGGAAGGGCGCCACTTGTTCCTGGCTGTGGAGGAAGGAGACAGCTCTTAAATTGCGGTCATTCTGTTTGCTGAAAAAGATGTGCTTTGCGACACTAAAAAAGTAATATTGGCTTTGGGAAATGTGTTTTCACAATCAGGGTCACGGTGAAGTTGCGGCAAAAAGGACAAATGGGTGAGTCACACTCAAGATGCAGAGAAATGACAGCAAATTAGAAAGTAAACAGACCATAGACACAAAATTCTGCAACGTTAAATCGATTAAACAAAAGGCACGCTATTTTTATGCATTAAAATATATTTAACTGGGAAGTCTGGGTGTCTCTGCTTGTCACTACCTGCCAACTAAAAAATAGCAGATGATAATAGATGGATGAATGTTCCAAAAACTAAAAACATAAGTCATAATAACCAGTCATATACAAATATTGTTACTATTGTAAAGAGTAATTCGAAAAATAATGCATATTGTGGTTTATTCCATGATAACATATTACTAATTTATCAGTAATATGTGCATACTCACAAACATATCTTATGTTTATACCTATTCATGTGTACACTTTTTTAATACTTTGTTTCTTTATTACTTTAAAGTAAAGAGTTGTGAGTTATACTTGTTCTATACTAAATATTCACTTATCTCGTGTTGTGTGCTCCTCATTCCTACTGTTCTGTCTGTAAATTGTGAAGCAACACTGACATTTCCCCACTGTGGGATGACTAAAGGATCTTTTCATCTTCATAACAACATAGTCAGGTTGTACTGTAACGTTACAATTAAAAACTACACTGTAAAAATGACATATAGTAACTAAAAACAGTTTGGTTTAGGTAATTTTTTTCTCAATACAAGCTTTGCAAAAAGGACAAGCAAAGATGTCTTATACAGGCCAGAAACAAGGCCAGTCGACTTGTGACTTTCTGCATCACTAGTCTGTTATAACAGAATCAGTCCAGCAGATGACAGCACTGATGAAGGTTGAGCCCTGGACAGCAGTCATCATCAAACAAGCCATGGATTTGTGCTCACAATTACGGCTCATTTGAAGAGCATGTGATGCCACGGATGTGATTACTGTGCTATTTTTGTATAATCGCTGAACAGTGAAAAACACAAAAAGACAAACACTGTGGCAATTTAAATTCAATCACTGCAAAACAGCCACAGTTTTCTCTGGCTGACATCCCTGCAGATCTTGTCCAATTATGAACATGTGAAGATCTCTCCTTCACAATAATTGAATATGGTTATGCTGACAAACAATGCAAATTCTACTTTTTATTTCTTTTTCCAAATCAAAGCTGCAGAAAAATATTAATCCGTCATGAAGAGGGACTGTGCCTTTGCCATCATGTTTGGTTGTTTTGAGAGACAGAAGCATGCTGTACAAACATATCAAGTAAAATATATCTTTTAATCTATTTTTTCCCTTTCTGAAATCACTTACAAAACAAAATGTCCACCTTTTTTGTTGTATGTGATATAAACGGTCATAGATTACACATCACTGATTGTAACCACAAAAGCAGGACGCATAAGGATGAACTACGGATGCTCAGAGAGCTGCAATTTGTTCAGAAGGCAATCATTTCATAGTTTGGACATCACTGTATTAAAATCACAGCATGCAGATATAATCAATCAATCATGATCAGAAACAAAATATGAATATTGAAAAATACCAAATTCTCGATACAATCTGTAAAACTGTACAGTGACTTTTGAATATTTTGAATGTTCTTAAAATTATTATTATTCACAAATTTAAATATTGTTACTGTTAAAATAATGTTATCATGTGTGATTTTTTTTCTTTCTTGTCAAGTCTCGTGAGACTTTGGGGCTGAGATTGTAAGTTCCTATACTATTTATCGTACTACCTGCAAAAAGTATTGACAAATAAGTCAAAAATTGCTCAAATTTTGCAAAATGTATCATATTTGCCTTTTGACTGCCTCAAAACAAGATTTGCCAATGGGACAAGCAAATCTTGTTTGAAGCAAGTCAGGATGTACTCAAATTAAGATAAACTCTATTCAAGCAATTATTCCCACATATTTTATCATTTTTTTGCAGGGTTTATTCAGTAACCCTCTGTTCACACCGTGTTACAGTAAACTCACCAAAAGTGAAATAGGCCACTTCCTCCGGTAGTGAGGCGTTGCTGAGGTCCTCGTCCGGCACGTGCAAGTCCACATACTGTTGAGCTTTGGTCGCCTTGAGGAAAGCCATGAATCGTGCGGTGAACGATGCAGCAAAGATGGAGAGCATCCCAAAGTCCAGGACGTTCCAGAGGTGATACACATACTCCCTGGGCCCATCGCTCCAGATCTCCTTACACTCAGACCAGATCATTCCTGTGCAAAACACATGCAATAAAATGATGAATATAGAAGTTTACTGTAACATTTTTAAACATTTCTGACAGATATGCATAATTGCGCCACCAAATAACACTGTTGAGACATAATATTGTGATGGAAGCACTGGCAAATTTACAAACAAAAAAACATTAAAATCTCACATTTAAAATGTAAATTTGGATATTTCTAATTTAATGGCCTTAACCATCCGTACGCTCCGCTCAATCATCATTTCACTGCATGTAACGTCTGGGTATGGTCCCTGTGTTAGCGAATACAATCAGTTGAATTTCGACCGACCTACCAGCGAGCGCAGAAGGCAGGTGTTGTAGTTAGTTTTGGGTGACGTCAAGAGTGTGCGTTGAACGGGCAGGTTGTAGTTTGGCAATGGCGAAAAATGCGATAGTAAAGTAATCCGGTCTGGTTCTATCAAGAATATGGTGATGTTTAGCAAATGTAATCGCTGGAAAAAATTGTGGCGCTACTCTCCACGGGTTCCGTAGCGGCAAAGGAGATGGCTAGGCTAAATGCTAAATGCCAACAACAGACTCAGGTGCACTACATACGTCACGGTAAACTCAGATCCAATCGTTTCAATCTGCAAAAGGAGTTAAACCCTCCCACCTGTAAAAGGAGCTCAATGGAGCACCTCCAGACCTTAGTACGAAATGTCATTTGTACTATGGTGTGGTACGACCAGGCTAACAATGCTCCGAGTTCATGAACTCTGCAGATATTTTTCCATTCTCTCTGCACGGTGATGACAGAAGCAAGACGCCGAACACACTGGCACATCAAAGTCCCCAAATCAACACCATCCATTCTCTCATTACATTCATACCTATTGTAAATGTTTTTATGAGAAAGGCCTGGAGGTGCATCTAACCGTTGCGCCACCGTGCCACTCGTTATTATCATTATAACATCAAAATTGATTTTAAAAAGCACAAAAAGACAAAAGATATAGTGATCAATTCATGACACAATCGACCATTAAAACAAAAGTGGGAGTCCAAGGTTTAATTTTCTCCTCTGTTATAAAACAGAGATGTCAAAAAACATAAATGTGGATCAACAAAATGTTTCAGCATCAGTCTATCTGTTGAGAAGCTCTGCGTTATGGTCAGGGGAGTGAGAGAGCGGTTTGATCAGGATATAACTTGTGTTCTATCAATGCTTGTTTGCAGAACACACAAACTTTTCAAGACAGGGAAATGTACATCCAAAACAGAAACTTATCTTTTCACCCACAGCTGCATCTTTTCACAACTATGCAGATACCAACATCAAACTTGCAATTGGCACTGGGAAATTACTGTTTGGATCACAGGTGTGCACAAACACATCGACAACCACTCAGTCTTTCTCCATCCACAGACAAAACAGGGTGAAAATTGCTTGGTGAAAAAGGGCCCGATCAGTATCATCGCTACGACAATTACCAGGCTTCGACGCACGCCACTAGAATCACAATTGCAGGACATCAATAGCCTAAAATAGTAAACACCCTGAAGCAGATGTCGACACAAGCTAATAGATCCACAGATGGAAATGTGGCTTCAATTCAAATAAAAGTGCAACAGTAGAAGTATATAGCCAACTTACACAAAATGGAAATTGTATTTCAAACCCAGATGGGCAGCAGCTGTGGTCCGACATTTTGCCACTGGCTACAAATTTGTCACATTTGTCAGCATGTTCTCTACTCCTATTTCCCCATGGCTGCATTTTTGGAACAATCCAAATTCTATCAGAATGTAATTCCAACTTTAAAATGTGTCAATAGTTTTTACTATTAACAGCCACCTGGACTGACGGAAGACATGCCACAAGGAATCGTAAAAACACCATTTTTTATTTATTTATTTTTTTTAAAGTTTGACTTCTGCAACAAACTGCAAACCACAATTTTGACTTTAGAAGCATAAGCTGCCTTTTTAGTATGATGAGGACAAATAACCATTAGCAATCCAACATCAATATAACTTAACAGTGTGGGTGGCAAATATTAATTACTCACAACGAAACTATTATTGTTTAATTATCAACAAAATAATGTAATTAAATCTGGGACATCTGTAATTCAAACTGCGAAAGGAAGAGTGAGGGAATTCTTCTCTATAATGTGATCATTTAAGATCCCTGTGATTTATCAAACATATATTACAAACTAAATCTTTGGATTGAGGTCAAATAACTATATGTTATGAAATAAACTGGTTACGTTTTATTTCATAACATAACACAAACCACAATAGTTTTCGTCTGTGTCCATCTCCCTCACTCTGAGTGGTGACATGTTTATTACTCTCTTGTAATGTAGACTGTTGCACTTGAAACTGCATACATTCTGATCCTCTACAGTATGTGCTTCTGAAAACCGTATAAAAAAACTTGAAAAAAACTACAAAAATGCCCTGGGTGTTTTTTTGGTCCCCATCCAGCCCTGCTTGTGTCCCTTAAACCTGCTCCTTTGACGAGTGTCAGGAAAACATGCTCACATCAAAAGGCAAATATATGTCTTCGCATGGCAGCGAGAGCCAGTGAATTCTCCACATGTCACATATTAGGAAACTTGGCAAAGAAAGTATGTAAAACCCAGGGGAGGTGCTCAGTCAGATGACTGAGGGAAGAGCAATGGCAGGGCATATGTAAATGACTCAAACATGCATGAATCAGGCTTATAAACAACTTTCAGTATTTAAATGACAAGGGGAAACAGATACAAGAGTTTTGCTTGGTACACATGCACAACATGGGTACCACGACATTAAAGGTGTAACAACACCACATCGTAAATGTTTTTTATCATCTTGCATACAGTATAATAAAATCCCAATCCCATACCTAGGACCCACTTCATGATGAGCATCTCTGTCCAGGAGAACTGTGTGGTCTTGACCCTGAAAACTTCATCTAGTGAAGATGAGAGGGATTTTTTTTGCAACTTTGTGACTATCGGAAAATAAGTTCAGAGTGGGAGCCCAAACTTCGTCTATGGCACTTCCCTATCGAAGCGCGTCGGGGTCCGTTTATTATACGGCTTTGTACCAACTCAACACGCAAAATAAACTTAAATCACTTTTATTACTGCCGAAAGGTTTATTTAACTGACTGCAAAGAAAATAGTTCCCAAAGGTTTACCCGTGGCAGGCGAGTAACAGTGAAGCTGGTTAACCTACTTCCTAAAAGCGATCGCTTTAGTCGCATTAAAAAGTATTTTTGTCATGAAAACCTGAACAGAAAATTCTGAAAACCTCCGTGCACTCGTGTTATGAATGTATGTATAATGTATTCTCCCATTAACATTTAAATGTGTCGATTGATTGTCATTTGTGTTTACTGAGTGTGGCTAGCTCTGATAGTTTCTCTCTGCAGAGACAGTAGTGGCGTAACCCGTTGTGACCCCATGGATCTATTATAATATCAGCTGACTGTAGCTAACTAATGATCAAACTAATTACAAAGTGGATAGTGCAAAAAAAAACAACTTGATAAATGGAAGTTAATCACAGCAAAATAAACAAAGAAGGCGCTAGCATTGCAATTTAAATGACTAGATAATGTTAGCATAATCCTCACCATTATCTTTTTATCAACTCAAACTTTCTACCAGTTACTGGAAGACCACGACATTCAAGCCAACATTTTAATTGGTCTACACTATGATCCCTGATGGTTTGATGGTGGAATTTTGCTCCTGGTATATCATTTTCGTCTAAAGTGACAAGCGGTATTTGATTCATTTCGGCAGTGTTTGTCCGAAACATGTGGGCGGGAGTTGACAGGCGGCGGGGGCGTGTCTTAGTGACGTCATTTAGATGCACAGTGGTTGAAAAACACTGGCATAGATTTTAGTGGATAACATAGACTAGTGGATAGGCGCTATTAGCTGTAGTATAAATGAGGCATACATTTTTATTGACAGGATTATTTATAGCAGTGGATCTGCAGCCTTATTCGGTTGGGGTAGAAATCGCTGGATAGAAACATTTAATTAGCAGACTTGAGCCACGCTACTGTGTGCTGTAAGAAAAAGAAAAAAAATCGAGAATCGAATTGACCCGAAAATCAAATCGAATTGAGGATTTGGAGAATTGTCACTCCCCTAGTCTTTACCAGCTTCTCTAGAGCTGTGATGTTGTGGAGCTGTTGATTGGTAACAGACATTCAACTCCCTCCATAAATTTTTGTAATGGTTTGAAGTCTGCAGACTTGATATTTTTCTGACCGAGCCATTCATTCGTTGCCTTTGGAATCTTTGAAATCTGGATGACCCAGCCACGTTTCATCTTCCAAGTGCTATCGCTCCTGCCGCCACCTGCATGTGAAAGCACCAGTGGCACAAACTAGTTGCCTTACTTCTGTGAGTCAGCCCCTGTGTTGCTGTGGCTACAGTAGTAGATTATATCTGTGTATGAAGTGAAAGAATAATGCTTTGTGAAGCTCCTTTGAGTGACATGAAAAGCGCAATCTAAAACCAATGGATTTTTATTTGCCCAAAATCACACAATAGCCTCCTTCATCCTTTCCTTTATCTGGTTTGGGGCTGCTTTGTAGATAAGCAGCCCGAACCAGCTCTTGTTGGCCCATCTAAAGTTTTTTCATTGACCAGAAGATGATCCAAAAGAGGCCTTGTACACATGGTCAGATGAGACATGAAGCTTTTGGTTAACAATTCTAGTTGTCTTTGGAGGGGGAAGAAGAGTTGCATCATCATCGCCCATGAACATCGTCATACTCACTGTGAAGCATGGAGGTGGAAACATTATGGGTCAAGGCTGCTTTTTTGCAAAGGGGATGGACGGATCTATATCGTAGAATAGATGGATACGGCCATGTATCCTTTAGGCCAAAACCTTCTTCCATTAGTGACAGCATTGAAGATGAAATGTGGCTGGGTCTTCCAGCAGGAAAATGATCTAAACACTTGGCCACCAAATGTCTTTCCGGCATTCTAAACAGCTAACCGTTTAAATAAAAGAATAATTT